AGGAAAAAAGCTTTGAGGATCTATCACAAACTACAAAGTCAGAATTTTCTTTTTCTTTCTTCTTTTTTTTTTTTAAAGCATTATTTGGAAGGCAGAGTTATAGAGAGGTCTTCCATCTGCTGGTACACTCCCCAGATGGTCACAATGGTCGGAGCTGAGCCGATCTGAAGCCAGAAGCTCTTTCTGGGTCTCCCACGTGGGTGCAGGGGCCCAAGCACTTGGGCCATCCTTGACTGTTTTCTGAGGCCTTAGCAGAGAGCTGGATGATGAGAAAGAGAGAAAAACAGATAGAGAGATAAAGAGAGAGAGAGAAGTCTTCCATCTGCTGGATCACTCCCCAAATGGCGACAACGGCTGGAGCTGTGCTAATCCATAGTCAGGAGCCAGGAGCTTCTTCCAGGTCTCCCACATGGGTGCAGGGGCCCAAGCACTTGGGCCATCCTCGACTGCTTTCTCAGGCCATAGCAGAGAGCTGGATCGGAAGTAGAGCAGCTGGGACTCAAATCAGCGCCCATATGGGATGCTGGCACTGCAGGCAGTGGCAGCTTTACCTGCTGTGCCACAGTGCCAGCCCCAGAATTTTCATACACTACAAAAGTTGGCAATTATATATTTTTAGCACTAAGAGGATTACCTAAACATCTAATTTTGCTCAGAAAAGTGCGATTTTTAATAAACTCTCCTTCAAAGTAGACATTGCTGAAAATCAATTTGAGTACTGTCAAGGTTAAACATGGCAGACTGAACACAAATGTTTGCTTAAGGCACACTAAAACAGCAGTGAGAGGAATAAAACAGAACACTAAAAAGGTTCTAGAAAATGAAAAGCAACCTAAGTGGTAACCAACTAACAGCCAGAAGAAAGCTTAAATAAATAAATAAATAAAAAAGCATAGAAGCAAGTTAATTCACCCCCACAAATTCTAGAAAAAAAGAGGAATAAATTAACTTTGAAAAACTGGAGGGGAGTGAACAAAAAGATGGTTTTAAAGTTTGTTTAAGGAACAGCCAGTTTCATGGTCATCTCTCACTTTCCCCTGCCTACTGTCTTTACAGATTTACTCTCTGAAGAAAATGAAACAGAAGGAATCTGGACTCAGGGATATCAGGTACATATCATTAATTCTAACTGTACTAAAAACCGGCAGAGCCTGCAAAGGAAGTGAAAGTCTACACGCTGAACAGACTACATGCTGCGACCTCTGCAGTCCCTTTCTCTCCATCAGCTCAACAGGACCAGTAGTAAGGTTCTACAAACACAGGATGAACAACTGCAGAGTCCTCTGCAGGGAAAATAAATACTGAACTAACCAAATATTATTATATAGCTACTGTGTTTACTGGGAGAATGACAAAGAGGAAATATTTGTATATGGAAGAGGAAGTGAGTTACAAGAGACCTAAATTCTCATCCCCCAAAGTCAATACATAACATGAATAACCCCAAAACAAAGATAAAACCAAAAATGACATAAGCCATGTTTATTAGAACCATGGCAATACATACTGTAAATAAATGTGATTAATCCTAGGAGTAACAGGGCAAGGATCTGCTAGTTTTTGTTACATGACTTGTGAATTATTTAGTTTTTTAAATTGTGTACATAAATAAAGCACTAAATGTTAAGAAAAAAGGTTTGAGGAGATCTGAGTGGTATATATAATTGATATTTTAAAAGGAATTAACAGATTAAACTTATGTAAGGGCTATGAATAATATTCAACAAATACTACTTAAATAATACTTAACAAAAAAAGTTTTGAAAATAAGTGTTGCAAAGGAAAAATAAGGCCAAAAAATCTTCACTGGTTAAAGAAATCAATCCATGTAATACAGATAGTATACATTCTTACATTTATCTTAATGGAAACATGCTTTTGGTGAACTGACAATGAATTTAGGGCAAGAGGAAGATAACACAATCCACAGGCTGCCCACAGCAGATAAACTGCTGTGCCAAAGTCACAGTGAAAACAGAACTTGAAACTTCAGCAACACTAATACGTTTATCTTACTTCCATGCACACAGCAGGGGGGGAAAAAAAAAAAGCGAGATCTAATCAAGTTATATATATATTGATTTCACAAGGAAGAAAGCAATCTTTGTAAAAATGAGTGTTTCACCTGTGGTGCAAAAATCTTTTAGGTCAGGAGAAGTTAAGACTCCAACAGCTGACCTTACAAATCACTGCCTGATAATCTTCAAAGAACAATGAATGGTTCTCCTTCCTGGTGAACACCGAGATGTTAGTGAACTTAGCAGCTGCTCACAAAGAAGATTTCTGAGACTTAATGGACAAGAGAAACAATTATCAAAGCTCATAAAGCCCCAATTAGTTTGCAGGCTTCTACAAACCACTACACAGACTGTGAAGGGCATTCATGGGGAGCCAGTCACACAGATTAAAATATGCGCAATTTGTACAAAAATAGTTTGACTTGGGTCCAAACACTTAAAGGAAAAATGTTACATACCCAACATAAATACCTGAGATAATGGAAAATGTTCCCAGCACCATAGTACTTATTATTCCAGTAATATACTCAGGTCTACTGGAACTGGTAGGTACTATATTTAAGGATACTTCAAAAAGTCCATGGGAAATAAGCATCGTCTTTTTAATTCCATTTTCCATGAATTTTTGGAAGTTCCCTTGAATAAAATATATTAAAATATATAAATATGAACATACAAATATATTAAATGTACATTTTTTTCCAAAAAGTAATTAGGTAGTAGATGGATTACTACAATGAAAAACACAGCAAATTACTATCATGTCAGATGTCCAACAGAAAAATAATGCTAAATGGAAAAAACAGCAAATCTTTCACAATATTTTTAAACAAATACAGAATTATGTTAAAAATGAAATATTAACTAATACTAAGCTAAGAGTGAAGTTTACCAATTCCCACCCTCCAGAGATTCTAACATGTCAGTAACAGGAAAAAAAAGGCTTATTTTCTTATGTCAATGTCTAATACACGAGAGTGGGTATTAACCAGAGATTTTTATGAAACATATTTCCCTTCATTTAATTTTATCTTTGCTTGGCAACCTATACTCCACTCTCTATTAACAGATGATAAGATACAAAAGAAATTAAGTTTAACACTGAACTCACTGGAGATGTTAAATAACCTCCTCAAAGGTACTTTCACTGATGCAACTTTCACTACCCTGCAGTCCCTTTTCCAATGTGAAATGCCTTGGACTTTGGGATAAAAAGATAAATAAGTGATCCCACTATACAATAATACAAAGAAAATTTTAAGCTTAAGAAACTGGTATGAATAGAATACTTTATGTCATTTAAAGATTTCAAAGTACAGGTAACAGTAGGAAACAGACAGCCATCATACAAATTTGGAAATGAGGAATAAAGCATTCCAGTTAGAATATGCTCTACATATTAGATACTATTATTTTCATGATGCTAAATTTGTGGGGTGTGGTAAGTGCTATGATAATTTTAGGAAAGTCTTAGTTCAGAAAAATAAGCACACAGAAGAAAGATAACACAAATGCACAAAATATTAACACCAGGTCAATCTAGCATTCATTCAATTTTCCTATAGGTTGGAAATTTTTTAAAGTAACAAGGAGATGGGGCTGGCACCGTGGCACACTAGGTTAATCCTCTGCCTCCAGTGCTGGCATCCCATATGGGTGCCGGTTCTAGTCCTGGTCGCTCCTCTTCCAGTCCAGCTCTCTGCTGTGGCCCGGGAGGGCAGTGGAGGATGGCCCAAGTGCTTGGGCCTCTGCACCCGCATGGGAGCCAGGAGGAAGCACCTGGCTCTTGGCTTCAGAGAGGCACAACTGCGGCCGCTGCGGCCATTTGGGGAGTGAACCAACGGAAGGAAGACCTTTCTCTCTGTCTCTCTCTCTCACTGTCTATAACTCTACCTGTCAAATAAATAAATAAAAAATCTTTAAAAAATTAAAAAAAAATAAAGTAACAAGGAGGGGGAAAATCTGTGTGTATATTAAGACATGTACAAGAACGTTCACAGCAGTATTACTTGATGAGCCCGAAATGGAAACCATCCAAATATACTCCCAACAGTAAATTGTGGCATATTCATAAAGGAGTACCTATATAGCAATGAAATGAGCTAACTAACCACTGTTGACACATATGGATGAAAGTCACAAACAACAATGAGCAAATGAAACTAGTTACATATAGCATGAACAAATACTTACTGATGCATACTTCAGATAAGATCAAGGCTGTCATTTATCTTTATTTAGCAAAGTCTTCTTTATAAACAGTACAAGAACAATTACAATGGAACTATGTAAATTACTTAAGAGAACAAATTCCTTTCAAGCACCTTCAAGCATATTTATAAAAACCATCCACAGGGCCAGCACTGTGGCATAGTGGGTAAAGCCACTGCCTGCAGTGCCAGCATCCCACATGGGTACCGGTTCAAGTCCCAGCTGCTCCACTTCCAATCCAGCTCCCTGCTATGGCCTAAGTCCTTGGGCCCCTGCAGTGGAAGATGGCCTGAGTCCTTGGACTCCTGCACCTGCATGGGAGACCCAGAGGAAGCTCCTGGCTCCTGGCTTCAGATCAGCTCAGCTCCAGCCATTGCAGCCAACTGAGGAGTGAACCAGCGGATGGAAGACCTCTCTCTCTGCCTCTCCTTCTCTCTCTGTGTAGCTGATTTTCAAATAAATAAATAAATCTTTTAAAAAAAATAAACATCCACAAATTACTGATCTGCTTTACGAATCACAATGCACTGCGGGTTTGTCAATAGTATCAAATGAGCAACACTTTCAAAAGACTCAAACTGAATGAGAACATGTACCTAAAAAACAAACACACATTAAAGATTTTTGTTAACTGAATAAGACTGTTCAAACTGTATTACAACTTAATGGTTCTAGTTTTCAAATATATCTATATTAATATAAACATATTCAATATATCTTTATTTTAAATTTATAAAACAGATAATTTTTTAAAAGGCATAAAATACTCACATTAACTTTGAAAGCCTGTACAGTGTTATCCAGAAGAAGAATGTTGCAAACCACCTCTGTATGCTGTCTGTCTCGGGCCAACTCTGATGCTCGTACATTGTAGGTTCTGCCAGCAGGCAACCGGAAACGTGAGGTCATTACTGTCCACACAAGATCTAAATTAAAAAACAAAAAGCTGCTAAATAAAATAATAGTGGAAGATACAATGCAATTTAAAAAATAAAGTTATTGTATATTTTTAAAGTCAAACAGGTAGAAAATGTTTATAAATTCTGAAACATCAGGATAAGAATCACAGGTATGAGACAGATTTATCTAAACTAAAATTACAAAGATGGCCCAACTGCTTGGACCCCACATGCCATTAGTGTCTGGATAGTCCAAGCAATTGGACATTGAACCAGTGGATGGAAGATCTCTGTCTCTCTCTGTATGTCTCTCTCTCTTTTTGCCTGTCAAGTAAAGACAAATATATATATACACACACATATACATACACATATATATACATACATCACATACACACATATGTGTATATGATATATATATCATATACGTATGTTATAATATCATATATATGATGCTAATTTTGGTGCAAAACATTTTTTTAAATTCATGAAAAGTATCTTCAAAATGTTCATGGAAGACATGTATCCTGGAAAAATTATATGTAGATTTCAAAAAATTTTTGCACCAAAATACTTACCTTTCAATTTTAATTTCCATGAACTTCTTAAAAGTACAGTCATGTAAGAATATAGGCAGCTGAAAAGTATCATGATGGAAAAATATATATCATGGAAATAGCAATCAACACAAAGGGAGTGATTACATTAATATCAGATTAAGTAGGCTTCAAAAAAAAGAAAATCAGCAGGAACAAGGAGAGAATACCATATAATGATAAAAGGGTCAATCCATCAAGAAGACACAGCAATCCTAAATGTGAAGGCACCAACAAAATAGAAACGTAAAATATATGAAAGCAAAAATTGTAAAAAGGAAACTAAAAAGTAGACAAACCCACAATTATAGAACTTAATATCTTTCTCAATAATTGATGTGATGAAGAAAATAGTGTCAATATAGAATTTAACCATAACATTAACCAACAGAATCTAATTAACATTAAAAAAAAAAAAACCGTACCAATACAACAGAATGCATATTACTTTCAAATTCTGACTATTTACCAATGAAGAGCACATCCTGGAGTTACAAAACAAATCTAAACATATTTAAAGAACCGAAATTATGCAAAGTATGTTCTCTGAGAACAGAATCAGCAACAGAAAGATAACATGAAAATCTCAAACACATGGAAATTAAACAACATGTTTCTAAGTAATCCACAAGACAAAGGAAAAGCTCAAGGGAAATTAAAAGATACACTGAATTAAATTAAAATTATAAAACAATACATCAGAACTAGCGGAGTCCAGCTCCAGCAGTGATGACAGGGAAATTTATATTATTATATGCATTTAATAGGAAACAGGAAATGTTTCAAATAAATAACGTAATTTCTTCCTCATGAACCCAGATAGAAAAGAGCCAAATAAACCTACAGCAAACAAAAGGGAAAAAAGTACAAAGAACAGAAATCAATGAAAAAAAAAAGACAAAAAAAAATCATAGTGTGGGAAGAGCAAAAGGATTCATAAATACGATAAACCTCTAGCAACACTAACAAAGAAAATACAAAAAGGAAACTAAAAAGTAGACAAATTACTAACATTAGCAGTGAAATAGATGACACCATTTAAACTCTGCAAACATCAAATTTGACACAGTAAACAATTCCCCAAAAGGCACAACCAATCATAATTCAACAAATGTAAAGTAGATCATTTAAACAGCCCTGTATCTGAAAACTTGATTTCAGGGGCTGGTATTCTGACATACTAGGTGAAGCTACCGCCTGCAATACTGGCATCCCCAAATGCTGCCAGTATGTGTCCTGTCTGCTCCACTTCCAAGCCAACTCCATGCTAATGGCTTGGGAAAAGCAGTGAAACATGGCCCAAATATTTGGGCCCCTGCCACCTATATAGGAGACACAGATGAAGCTCCTGGCTCAACCTGGCCAAATCCTGGCCATTGTGACCATCTAGGGAGTTGAACCAGCAGATGGAAGATCTCTCCCTCTCTGTAACTCTTTGAAAATAAATATATCTTTAAAAAAAAATAAAAAACAATAATTTAAAATGTTCCCATATAAACAAAAGTAAGAGTTTATCACTGGCAGATCTGCCCTAGAAACAAATACCAAATGCTGAAACAAAAGGACGCTAAATAGCAACTCAAATCTGACAAAATAAAGAGCACCTGTAAGAGTAATTAGATAGCTATATAAAATAACAATATAAACATATTTTGTGCTTGTAACTCTTTTTTCTATTTGACTTCACAGGTAACCACATACATCAATATTTATAGGAGCTGTCTGACAGGCTTACAATAATGGTATGACAACAGTACAAAAGAAGAGGAAAAGAAGGTAAGTTATATGAAGCAAACTTTCCATATACTATTGATATAAAATAGCAATTACCACCAACTATTTGCTTATAAGCAAATTGCAAGGGCAATCACTCAAAAATGAACTCAAAGAATATATAGTAAAGTAAGTGACAGAATTAAAATGATACACTAAAAAATAGTTACATAAAAGAAAGTAATAATGGAAAAACAGAGAATAGACAAAATATATAGAAACCAATTAGCAAAACAGTACTACCCTGTTGTATTTTTTCTTTTGAAAGATTTTATTTATTTGCGAGGTAGAGTTTCAGACAATGAAAGGGAAAGACAGGTCTTTCATCTACTAGTTTACTCCCCAAATGGCCTTAACAGCCAGAGCTGGGCCAATCTGAAGCCTGGAGCCAGGAGCTTCTTCTGGGTCTCCCACACGGGAACAGCAGTCCAAGTGGTTGAACCATCTACTAGTTTCCCAGGCCATAGCAGAGCTGGATCGGAAAAGGAACAGCCAAGACTAGAACCAACTACTATATGGGATGTCAGCATCTCAGGTAGAGGATTAAATTACTGCACCACAGCGCAGGTCCTCTGTATTTACATTATATGTAAGTAGTCTAAACAAATCAAAAGGAGAAGAAAGAGGGCCAGCACTGTGATAAAACAGGTTAAGTCACCATGAGACACCAGCATCTATTGTGAGCACCAGTTCCAGTTCCAGCTGTTCCACTTCAAATCCAGCTTCCTGCTAAAGCACCTGGGAAGCAGAGGATGAGGGCCTGAGTACTTGGGGCCCTGTTACCTAAATGAGAGATATGGATGGCATTCCAGGCTCCTGGCTATGGCCTGACCCTGCCCCAGCTATTGAAGCTATCGGGGAGAGCGAACCAGCAGATGGAAGATCTCTGTCACTCTCTGTCTCTCCCTCTCTGTAACTCTGCCTTTCAAATAAATTTTTAAAAGAAATCTCAAAAAGCAGGGTGGGGGGAGCAAGATTGGCAGAACAATTTTTAAAAAAAATTTTTTTTAAATTACAAGACACACTACAGACTCAAAAACACAAACTGAATGTAAAAGCATGTATAAATATGTACTACAAAGACAGTAACAGTACAGTGGCTTTACTAATATCAGAAAAAAACAGACTTTCAAGCAAACGTGTTATGAGACACATTTTATATTTTATAACAAAAAAGTCAAACATTAGCAAGACATCATAAACATATAAGCAAACACAACACCCCAAAATACATCAATCAAGAAGTGACAAAATTAGATGGAGAAAGCAGTTTTAGCCAGGTGGCCGCATGGCCCAGCTACCTGAGCCAGGCTCCACCCCCCATCCTAATGTGATTCGCTGCTCCTGCTTCCCTGCCCGCCCTCAGGCAAAGTTTTAAAAGGGCCTGTTCCTGAACACATGCTCTCTCAGCTCTTCCCTCCTGCTCTCTTGGCCCTTCTCGTCTCTCTTCTCTCTCCTCTCTGCTCTCTGTTTCTCTTATACTCTCTTTCTCTCTCTTACCCTTCGCCGCCCCTTCACTCCGGTCTGTTGGGTGTTCCCCAATAAATCCTTTCCCTTAAAAAAAAAAAAAAAAAAAAGAGGGAGGTGCCTTTCTCTGAAGGGAAGAGAGAACTTCCACTTTCACTATGACCTTGTCTAAATATGATCAGAGTCGGAGAACTCAGAAGGTTTCCATAGCCTTGGCAACTCATGATGGGAGCCTAGGGTGGTTACTGGTGCCATAAACTAGAATGTCAATTTGTTGGGTCAACAACAGGAGTCACTGTGCACTTACTCCTCATGTAGGATCTCTGTCCTTAGTGTGCTGTACATTGTGATTTAATGCTATAACTAGTACTCAAACAGTATGTTTTACTTTGTGTTTCTGTGTGGTTGCAAACTGTTGAAATCTTTACTTAATATATACTAAACTGATCTTCTGTATATAAAGAGAATTGAAAATGAATCTTGATGTGAATGGAAAGGGAGAGGAAGCGGGAGAGGGGAGGGTTGTGGGTGGGAGGGAAGTTATGGGGGGGAAAGCCTTTGCAATCCATAAGCTGTACTTTGGAAATTTATATTCATTAAATAAAAGTTAAAAAAAATTAGATGGAGAAAGAGAATTCAACAGTGATTGGACAAAGAAAAGCCCAGGACCAGATGACTTCACTGCTAAATACTACCAGACATTTAAAGAAGAACTAACCCCAATCCTTCTAAAACTACTCAAAATAATTAAAAGAGAGGGAATCCTCCCAAATTCTTTCTATAAAGCCAGAATTACTTTAATTCCTAAACCTGAAAAACATAGAACAGAGAAAGAAAACTACAGACCAATTTCACTGATTAACAAAGACACAAAAATCCTCAACAAAATACTAGCCAATTGAATACAACAACACATCAGAAAGATCATTCACCAGGAACAAGTGGGATTTATCCCAGGGTTGGTTCAACATTCTCAAATCAATAAACAGGATACATCACATTACCAAACAGAAAGACAAAAACAGTAGGATTAGTTCAATAGATGCAGAGATACCATTTGATTAAATACAACATACTTTCATTGATGAAAACTCTAAGCAAATTGGGTATAGAAAGAAAATTCCTGAACACAATCAAGGCAATTTATGATAAACCAATGGCTAGCGTCACACTGAATTGGGGAAAAGCTGG